AGCTTGCTGGGCTCCATGGGGGCGGGATTTGCTGATCTAGACCACTTGGCTCCCTGGCTTCAGCCTTCTTTCCAGGGGAGTGAACATTCTGTCTCGCTGGCATTCCAGGTGCCACTGGGGTATGAAAAAAAAACTCTTGGAGCTAGCTTGGTGTCTGCCCAAACGGCCGCCCAGTTTTGTGCTTGAAACCCAGGGCCCTGGTGGTGAAGGCACCCGAGGGAATCTCCTGGTCTGCCAGTTGTGAAGGACATGGGAAAAGCATAGTATCTGAGCCAGAGTGCACCATTCCTCCCGGTACAGTCCCTCATGGCTTCCCTTGGCAAGGGGAGGGAGTTCCCTGACCCCTTGTGTTTCCTGGGTGAGGCGACACCCCACGCTGCTTTGGCTTGCCCTCCATGTGCTGCACCTACTGTCTAACCAGTCCCAGTATCAGCTGGGTACCTCAGTTGGAAATGCAGAAATAACTTGCCTTCTGTGTTGATATCTCAATGCAGAAATAACTTGCCTTCTGCGTTGATCTCTCTGGGAGCTGCAGACTGGAGCTGTTCCTATCTGGCCATCTTGCCAGCCACCCGTGTGTTTTCAAATGAACTTTGAATTAGTTTTTGTAGAATTAGCAGTTTTCCCTTTATTTACCTGTTCTAGGGCCATTGCAAGACAACCTATTAAAGAAATAAACTAAGCATTAAAAAAGACAGGTTAGATAATAGTTATATGTTTTTTATTTGTGACATTTGAATATCCAAGCTCACATATAACTGATTTCCTAAATATCCTTTAGTTTTATGTTGCTTTTCTAATTGATTTGTTAGTTTTCCTTATAGTCAAATGCTTAATACAATCATAAATGGAACTAAAAATATAGTCAACATTTCTTTTTCTGATGTATGTAAAAAAGATACAGCAAAACTCTGAAATCAGATCACTGTAAGCTAGTAAAACAGGTGAATTATTTGATTAGAAATGGACTCTTCCTTCATAAGTTACGCAAATCTTTATGTAGTCATTGAAAATTCTTACTCAGAATTAATACCTGCCCAGAGGGAAATAGCCTATTATAAAAGCTTTTTGTTAATGTATTTTTTTAAGGCAGGAAAACAATCATTATTTCCAAACACACTTTGTTTGTCTAATTCTAGGAGAGAATCAACAATTTCTTCAAGGTCCAAAATGATAACACAAGAATGACAACAGTGTTAACCAAATGATACCTCCAGCTCCTTTTAGTGATTGTGCCTAGGTACACATTTCCTCAAAGATAATGGCCATACTTTTCCTACAATGCTTTTGTTTTTGTTTTCTCACAGTGCGATACTCATGGAGTATGGAAGGGACATAAGGTTTAGAGACCATAGGAAGCAATTTGCTTCCATCAATAACCAGAATGATGGATTGACATAAATCAGCACAAAAAGATAAGAGTAATTCTATTCAGGTCCCTTAATGTTTTGCCAATTAAAGGGGTAGTTAAAAAAAAAAAAAAAAAGAAACAACAACAGTGTAATCTTTAGCAGGGACGTTAAAGGGAAGAAGTCAGGAAGATAAACCAAAATGATTGAATATGATAAAGAATTTTGCATGGCGATTAAAATAGAAAACCTATAAATGTAGAAAAAGCAGGTCTGGACTTAGCAAAGAGACAATATAGTTTGGAGAAGGCATGAAATAAGTTCTCTTCATGTTCACTGCTGGTCACATCCATAACAGAGAGTGATGTGGAGAGCTTTGGGAAGGTTTCACGTTGAGTTACATCAATGGTCAACAATGGTGCAACAAGACTCCGTAGAGGATGCCACCCTAGGAGAACTGCAAGGGAAAGGAGGCCGAAGCACAACTGGTAATAGCCTTCAGATATTTAATGGATACGCAAATAAAGCTCTGATTAATTATATTTTCACTTATCTTATTATATATCATCTTTGGACCTTTCTAAAAGTGGGACACTAGAAAAGATCTACTGAAACTCAAAGAGAATACTTCAGCTCGAGTTGAATGGAACTCAAGATGTTGTGGAGGGTTCAGTGGGTTGGTTATACCAAAGAATGCTGTAGAATTTCCATGCCTGAAGATCTGTAAGAGTATAATTTTTTCACCAGGGAAGTTACTGGTATGGTTTGAGAGATAGAAGGAATTGATTAAGATATCTCTCAAAGTTTCTTCCACTTAACCTGGCTCTGAGACTCTGGGTTTTTGGAAATGAGAAAATACCCAGGGAAGAGAAAAACGAACAATTTAAGAAACAGGAAATGACTCTAGATCAGTATTTCTCAATGATAGCCATTTAAGACATTTTCTTCCTAATCATCTCTCCCTTGCACCATCACCATGAAAGTTTAATACCACGTAAATACTTTGTATCTGTTTATGTACTTGTGGTCCTTTGGAGGGTCACAACCCACCGTACTATCTAAGGGTTTTCCCAAAAAAACCAACTGACAATTAGGGAGTGTGTGCTCTCTATAAATAAACTATGGGCCCAAATGGAGGTCATTGAAGATGGGAGAAAAAATAAAAGCGTTGAATATTTCGCCTCTGGCTACAGGGAACATACAAATCCTCACTTGCCCACGCACTCACATATTGCCTGCACATGAAAACTTCCTTCTTCCCCTCCCTCCTGTTATATGAAAAGGAATGAATGCTTTGCTACTGCTATATCATCTGACTGCAATGACTATAATATTTTGGGGATCCTGGACCTCCTTGAGAACATTAAGAAATGAATGTATGTATGCACAGCCCTCATACTCTGTAAATGTACGTGTCCTGAATTTCAGAGCTTAATAATGAATTATGGAACTTGATAATGATTGGATCAGGCAGACAACACCTGATCAGTCCTAATATCAGAAAAGAGACAAATAGACACTATGTGCTTCCTGAGCTGGGGCAGTAGGAAGGAAACAACATTACACATGTAGTTGTCTTGGAAAAAAACATGTAACCTGTATCTCGTAAAGAGGAAACAATCAGTAAAAAAGTCTAGATTGTGGGACATTCTACCAACTTGCCTGAACTCTTTAATAATGTCAGTGTCATGAAAGACACACCACACACACACACACACTGCACATCATACACAAACACCATCCCACCACCCACTACTCAGACACACACAAAAGGGCAACTCTAATCGATTAAAGGAAACAAAACAGAATGACAACTACATGTGACGTATAATTCTTGATTGAACCCTGGATTTTAAAATAAACAGCTATAAAGGATATTTTGGGGACAACTGGAGAATTTTGAATATGGATCATATATTAGATTTATACAGTATCAGTGTTCAGTTTCATGGGTGTGAAAATGTTGTAGATTTATAGGACAATGCTCTTATTAAAAGGAAGAATATGATGAAGTATTTTACATTTTCATGATGTCTGCAACTTATTTTCAGAAGGTTCAAGAATATATATATATATATTTTTGAGACGGAGTCTCGCTCTGTTGCCCAGGCTGGAGTGCAGTGGCCGGATCTCAGCTCACTGCAAGCTCCGCCTCCCCGGTTCACGCCATTCTCCTGCCTCAGCCTCC